AATTCCGAGTTAAATTCTCTTCATGGTCGATTAAACACGTGCTATGAATAAACAATATATATTTATTTTTCCTTCAAATACATGTGTTATATATAAAAACAAAACGGTGCGACGTAGATACCATATACACAAAATAATAATAATATATTATATTGGAACATTCTTAAAATAATAAAATATTATTTTAAGACGAGTGGTTTTCAACACAACATATAATATTGTAACAATATAATATTATTTTGAATTTTTGGAATGCAGATATTACATATCTTATAATATTATTATCCATTTTATAATATATTATGATATAAACGTTGAATAAAACCATTTGTATGTGTTTATTGTTATCTACTAAAATGTATAAAGATGAACGTATTGAATGATTTAATGTTGATGGATTCAAAGTAAACAACTGTGACTGATATTGGCCGTATGAGACGCAGCAAACAATTTTAGCTAAAAAACGTATACACATTATAATAATATGATATTATACAGTCATAAAACCATAGCACCACCAGAGAGAGGATTTTTAAGTAAAAATAATATGAGTAAATATTGCAAGCAATATTCGCTGCTAGCGTGGTGTTAAGTATAACTATGCTTAAATATATAAGTAATACCGGAAAAATATAACGTAGCACTTAGGTGCCATAATATAATATGTACAGGTCGTAAATCGTAATATATAGGTATTATGAAAACGAGTAACATATATAGTAGTAACATCATATTATAATGATTCGTATAATACGCAATAACATCTTGGAAAAATAAATCGAGAAAAATTATATTAATATAATATGTTTGGAGGTACAGTATGTTTAAATATTTCGTCAATACGAGATAACTTGGATTGGATCCACTGATGCATTTGATGTGGTTTCTTTTTAGAATTAAATCTAAGCAGATGATATTCTAGACTGAACCCAATCATTGCCGTATTATATTATATCGAAGCCACAAAAAAAAAAAAAGACAAACGTGTGTAAATAATATTATAGATTAACATATAAACAACGGGGATAATATTATTATAAATAGGATTTATTTTTGAGCGTTAATGTTGTGATTGAGCGAAATTATTCCGAATCAGCTATAAAGGCATAGACCATATAATCCATGTTAACAGAACATTTATTATACAGCGACTTATATAATATAAATCGTTAAAATCGATTATTTTCAATTTATTAAAAAAATATTCTTCCATCTAACAATTCATTTTTCGAGTTTGTTAAAAAATTTATAATTTTATATTTGTTTTTTTCAAAACTGGTCGTATTTTTGGTCTTCAGTGTTTTGGTTCTGATATGTTCGTAATTATATTATTTTATTTTCATGTTCGTCGGATATTTTTAAATTTATATGTTTTTTTAAAAATTAATTTAATGTATTGTAAATACTATATTATTATGCATCAGTGTTGATCAATTGATGTTCTATTGGCTGTTATTTTTTATCAATTTTCATATTGTCACTGATCACAAACAAATTTTCATTCGGTAGAAGTGGTAGTACGTATAATAGGTTATTATAGGTACTTTCGTGGAATGATTAATATCTTTAATATCATTAGCTGTTTCTGTTTTTAGTGTTTTATTTGTTGAATTTGGAGAATTTTTCATGTCATTTTGTATAATCAGCTAGTAATAATATATAGGTAAATTAAAATTCGTAAATTATAGCTATTAGCAGGGCTATAATATGGTAGAAATATAAACAGCCACCTAAGGCGGAAAATTTTAAATGAAAAACATGAAATATGAAATACAAAAAATATATATATGTAATAATGATAACATCTCGTTTACCGATAACGCTTCGTATTCGTAACATATTAGTAGCAATATCTAAAATATTATTGGGTATAATACCCTATTGAAAGTATTACAGTTTATTATAAATAATGACATTTTTTTACCAAATTCAGTTGTAGCAATTTGCATTACTCGTATTTTAACAATGTATTAGTTGCTATAGGTGAACTTAACTTTTCCAAATTAAAAATAATTAAAAATTATTTGATGTTTTTTACGAATTAATAAAGGTTAAGTGATATTTTTATAGTTTAAACTGAAAAAGAATTCCGAGCTTAAAAATGTATTGATTGAATTTGCACAGCAAAGGCTACAAAATAAATTGTATTTAGTATATTTTTATTTTGCAGTTATATGTTTTCAATTAATAATTAAATACTTATTAAAGTACTATATGATAACTTGTTATATTTTAATAACATTTATTTTTATTTTTATTATTTTTATATTTTGTAAAAAAAACTGAGGTCACTCAAAATGTACAAATTTTTTTAATTAATATTAACAAGATTTTACTGTTAAAAACGAATGTCTTTATTTTATATATCTCTCCTACTCCCTAAAAAATTAACTATTGAATAAGTGCAGCGTAAATAAGATTTCCCTAAAATGACGAAAAACCTAAGGTTAGGCTATCTGAATTGGATATCGGTCATTAAAGAGCAATTTGCCAACTTGTGCTGTAGGCTGCACACGTACCAATATAATATGGTAATATCTCAGTGACGTAACCCCAGCAATTAAAAGCGCATTGACAATTTTGTAAATTAAAAACAATTTCGTGCGTGGTCCAAGCGGTTACGTAAATATAATTTATGGCTTCAAATATGTTTTTATAAAAAAAATCTTTGAGAAACCCGACAAGGTGACTTTGCGCATGTGTAGTGTCGTTAGTAATATTACTTCAACTATAAAATAATAATATTATTATTGTAATAATTATTTGCGACGTGTATTTAATATTTATAGTTTTCTTTTTATTCAGTGCTCGCACACGCACACACGACATCGGCATGGGGTTCGCGCTACATGTGTTCTACCGTAGTCGACGGAGGTGTATACATTGCGTATATTTACCTACCTATAAGTTTAATGTTAATGTGGCGTTTGTCCGTGACATTTGAATGTATATTATATAGTTATCACAAATTTTTAACAGTCGTATAATAAAATTAATGATATATAATATTTAAGACGTTTTGTGCAACTTGAAAAATATAATATATTGAATAAATATACTATATTTATAATATAGACTCTATCTATATTACTTATAAGTTATAACAAAAAAAATATCATACTAGTAACATTTAATATTAATTATTATTTTTATATGACTTTTCCTACGCACGTATGTATCAATTACTTTTTTTGTCTTACGTGCATCGAAATGATAATAATATTTCCAATTGAATACGGCACTTAATAATTTTTTCCAACACTGCACACCGTGGTGATATTTTCGTTTTTATCATAATGTATGTGATTTGAGAGATTTCGTGCAAAAGGCCGTAAACGGGATATTCGAAAAAGCCCTGAGAGGATATAACGTTCTTTTTTCACTTTGAAGTACACAATTATATTATATTGTTGTACATACTGGATGATTTTTTTATTAACATAAAGTAATAGTACAAGACCATATTAAAAATTGTTGATTTATTTAAATTTTTAAGATCGTACACGTATTATTTTTATTTTTTTATAGTTAAATAGTTTTTTTATTTCAATTTTAAAAACACATAATTTTACAATTCAATATTGTCTGATTTACAATTAATGAATCACACTACATGTACATGGTTAGGTATGTACGCTACCGTATGTCAGTAATGGAGCTATATTTAGGGGCGTATTTAGATGGTGAAAATACCATTGCCTCGAGCGGCAATTTTTTAGGATTTAGGTATGACAACATATTATGCATGTAAAATTTACAACCATCATTTATCGTAATTCGTTTAAGAAAGATAAATGGAAATTTTTAACATACTTATTGTGGTTTTATATAAAAATCAAAATTATTTTATTCATAAAATAAAAAAATATTATAAAAATATAATTTATTTTTGTTATGGTAATTTTTATAGCAAAATAATTTTTTGTGATTAAGTTTTTTAAAATTGGTTGAGGAGGTAATATTCAATAGAGGTGATTTCAAAGCTATACCTAAGGCGCCAAATCTGAAAATATGATGTAGTAGTAGACACTTTATTTATTTTTATTATTAATATTTTCATTAAATAAAATCGCCAACAAAGTGAAATTTAATATTAACATTAATATTGAATTCGAATAAATACTACGTCATATTTTTAAATAAAAATGCCTACGAGAATCAAATAATATCATAATACCTATTTTGACATCATCGGTGGCGATGTGATGTAGGTATATAATATTTATTATTATTGTTGTTACTATTAATGCGCTGACCTATACATAGATTAAAAAAGGCATTGAGCGGCTTTGTGTACAATATATTATGTTATGTATGCGTGTACGAATAAAATTCGATTATGTTGTGATTTAAACGTTTAAAACGGTAGTGGAGGTGAGAAGAAATAAATAATAATGTGGGATAAAATGTTATGTGTAAAAAAAAAAAAAAATAATACTGTCCCCGCGCGTTATTACTGTTCTTTTATTATTATTATGCATTTGTACCGGGAGCCCTCCTGAAGGAATTTCATACAGCAAAGTAAATAAACGAATAACAATCAATTATATCATATTATTCGTATGTACCCATATGCGCATTCGGTGCGATAATAATAATAACCAGCCGTTCGAGTTTTAAATAGAATTTTTTTCAAGAAAAGAACCGCCATGCATTGTTCGCGGTGGACGATTGTGTCCGCATGCTAAACACACACACACACGCATTTTCACATACCGGGGTCTTTTATTGTGTATCGACTAGAGGTACGAAAAACGTCAAATCGGCACGAACGCTTATTATAAATATCGCTCAGATTTTTTTATTTTTTTGTCACCCCCCCTCAACAACGAAGAAATTGTTTGGAAGTAAACAGTTGTGGTGCTTATTATAATACATAATATATTATTGTTATGTTGTATTATTTGTGGATATTATATTTAATAAGCGTGTGACGGATCTAAAGAAAAATAAATAATATGTAGGTACCTACTACTTTATACTTGGGTACAAAATATTACCTCAATAACGATTAGGATATATTACATTTTGGCATGACACCGGTGCGACGGGTTCTTCGCTGCGCCCTGAAAATCGTCGTAAAACATTTTAATAGTATAGACTCCCGTGTGTACCTTTAATAAATAATAACTATATTATAAATTTCGCGCACTGCGACGTTTCTAATAGGTTTGCTGGAATCATGGGCGGAGTAGAAACTAAATTCAGGCCCAGAGATTGAAATTTATCCAGGCCACCCATCTTTTACCAATTAAATCACAAAATGATTTTAATCTCAAACGACTTTATATTTCTTATAATTTAATAATATAACGCTGTATTATCCGACTTCAAACGGAAAAAAATGAACAAGTGTAAGTAAACGATGTTCAGCGTAATTCAGTTCAAGTTTACCTCAATTCAAGGGAAAGTTGTTGTTTATTTACTCGTTTTGTAGACAAATCCGAATGAGATGAGCAATTCACATGTGGTAAATAGCTGATACAAGCATATAGCGTTTGACTTGATTCAATTCAGTTTAAGTGAAATAAATTTAGGAGAAAATCATATTAGCTGAAATACAACTCGTGAAAATAAAGAATGTAAACATATACATTTTTAACACGAACTACAAGTGAGAAATATTGTCGTATAAAATCTAGTTTTAAAAAGTACATATAAAATCCAGACAGATGGCGCTATGGAAATATTCATATTTTATCTTTAAATTGTTTATATCATGGAAATAGAACATTTTAGTTGATATCATTATTGTGTACAGTTATAAAAAGCGATATTGCAATAGATATTGTTTATAATATATTATTATGTCTTAACAAATAAGATTGTCAGTATGAGTGGTGTTTTTGTGATAATACATTTGATGTAGTGCATTAATAATAAAAAAAGAGACAAAACGTAATAAATCATCGAAAAACTATATAAAAAAATTGTCTCTCTTACTAGATAAAAATAAAGAAAAGAAAAGTTTAGTTATTTTTTCCATAATGGAAAGAACTATATATATTACATATACGCTTAAGTAATCTTTAGACTCCTCAATAATCTCGAGATTATTATATTCCGCGAGGGTGACAAATATACCGAAAAATTTTATTGTTGTTATAAATCTTACATTTATACATATATATATAGCGTTTTATGTAAGGATAGATGAGAAAAAATCGTTTTATCATCTACTCGTGGGGTGTAGTATGCTATAAGTACACTATATTATAATTTGTGGTATCAAATTATCCTAGAATTTTTTTTTTTTTTTTTTTATTTCGATCGTTGACAGCTGACATTTTTTATAAAGCCATAGAGCCCGAACAAATAATAATTCATATCAATTTTACGTTATTGGTATAACAACTAACAAGTGTGGAATAGAATTAAGATATTAGTATATTGGTATTACACGCAAGAGAAGAAAGGCAATCTTACGAGAAACTGAAAATGCTGTAGAAAGAAATAAAAGATTAATTATTGAATTATTCTAAAAAAATCTTTAAGTAATACAATCAGATATTTAAGAATTTAAGATTTAATCTGTAATTTTCACCTTTAATCCTTTTACTATAGTAAATGTGATATAAATAATAATATGTGATATTAGACAATATATAAATTGAACTGGAGCCCACTGCAAGGTCTTAGGTATAATTTAAATATTATATTAGTGTTATTTATTGTATTTTTACAGAAGAAGTTTGTTAATTTTTAGTTATTTTTACTCGATCATATATAACGTCACAATAATTCATATGATGTGCCACACTGTACGCAAAAACTGCATTTTAGGTGCAGCAGGTCGAATACAATAAGCAATAAGCTATATTTCTTATAGAATTTTAATTAAAATTGGAGCAATATGAATTCCTCATCGCCTGTCAATCATTAAAACTGTCGCATAAATCGAAAATTATTGTACGCTTACAATTTCAGTTAATGTGATTTGGATCGTAACGTGTGCGTCACTGTTCATACATCGAGCGTATGTACTTATTATATAGTATTTTAGTTTCGAAGTAGTTTGGAATAATACAATAGAGTTGTCATTATATATCTCACTGTTTAAAAAACTCTTAGCTCGCAAAAAAAGATTGAAGGGTAGTTGATGAGCAAAGATAGATAGTAGGGAGCAGAGCCCCCTAGTATATAAATTTATAAATTATTGTTAGTTATTATCTTTCACAGTGACGATAAAAAAAAAAATACGTCGTGAAAAGTATTGATGCATGCGACGCGAATCGTGACGTTTTCGATACTGTCATAACACATTATATGCGCATACAACTATAATAATAATACATTGGAATTCTTTTTTTTTTTTTTTTTAGCATTATAATATTATATATTGTATTTTATACAATAATCGGACACGCATTATTGTTGGTTTTCAAAGGAATCGAAATCCTTGCTCAACACAATTAAACTAGATAATATGCAATTATAACGATGTAACATGTTATATGAGATACTCGAAAAGGTACATAAACGGGTTAGTTTTATTATGCTAACATAATGTACTTACTAAAAATGTTTCAAGGAATCACGTTTGAAATTCTCTACTGCAGTAAAATTAAATAATTTACTATTTTAATACGTCAAAGCTGATTTAAAAAGTGTCTTGATTTTCATTTTATCCTTTAATAGGTATATATTATTTTAATTAGCTATTAAAGCTTCAATGACAATCAAATGGTTACTACTTATTAGCCTACTTTTAGTTTAAATATATGTTTTCTTTAATATTTTATAATTTGATTTTGTGTGCGTTCAATTTCTCATTTTTTTTTTTTTTTTTATTTATCTAAAACTATAGACTTGCATTTTGATTCAAATTTATTAAAAAATTATCCATAGTTAACAATTTAATGTGAAATAGGAATTTGTATTACTATAAAATACTCTTAATAGCATGAAATTTAAAGTTTTTTTAAAATGTAGTTTTTTAATATTGGTGCGGGGTTTGTATCTAAAAATTCTAAAAATTAGTTTTAGGTAAACATATAATTTAAGATTAAAATCGGAATGGATATGCTCGGTAAATTATACTCTTCTGTGCTGCAGGTACAATGTACATACTTGTATTATTGTTATCATTGTTGTTACCTCTATTGCTCAGCTAGTACTGTTCTACATTTGCTACCTGACCTCATAGACATCTCTCTTTGGCGCTCAGCCAGACGCGTATGTAACAATATAATATATTATATATATATATATATGAGAAAATAATAAAGGGCTGCTGGTTGGGATGCGCATGAAGTGCCTCTCGTCACGCCCGGAATCTCGAGTACTCCGCTGCAGCAGACGTTCCTATATATACAGCAATAATAATATAATAAAATATATACTGTCTCTGCAGTTCGTGCCAAATTTAATTGATTATCATCACTTATGACACACGAATAGATCATATAACATAATAATTATAAATCGCGTACCTATATCAAACTAAAAAACCATTCAAAATTGACTATAAGCTTAGAAAATCTACATTTCCGTTTAAATGGTTTTACACATAGGTAAACGATTAAGTACATAAATTACATAGTTATACCTTCAAAATTTATAACTCAATAATTTAAATGTTTTTTTCTATAAATGTCAATATTGTTTATTACACTTTTATTCTCAAAAATTGGTGGCGTGGCCTTCGATAGTTAAAGTGAAATGTAAATGTTGAAATAGGTAATAACTGCAATTAGCATTAGACTAAATAAGAGTTTTATATCAAACAAATTTATGGCTTTAATAAGTTTAATATATTGAAATTTTAATCGCAAAAGTTGTTTGACTGTATCATATATTTATTATATAAACATATACTTGTAAAAAGCGTCATAAAATTAAATAGTGACTTTGGATCTCAAGCAGCTATTAAAAAATGATTAAATGGAAATGATCTAAAGTATATTGTATATAAATATTTTATATTAATATTGTAATAGTATGATATCACTGAACACATTAAATATTAATGTATTGCTTTGAAAATTATAAATATATTATATAAATTACAAAATTCAAGACTAATTTATAATTTTAAAACATGCGTTTTATAAAGTTTTTGTGATTACCTTTAACGTATTTTGCTAAGTATTTGCTTAATCTTAGTTTTTTTGGATGTTTAAAATAGAATTATGAAATAAAATAGTTTTTCTATTTATTTTAATAAAAAATGTTGTATGATTTGCTAGCAATCAATAAGTACTTCGAATATCGTCATTATTTATCGTAAATTATAATTTTATATAATATACAGTATAATTTGTAAACGACATACTAGGCACTTTACATTCTTATCAAATTATAATAATATATTCAAAACAACTTTATGTATTGTTTACTCCATTAAAGAAAGTTGTAAAATAAAATTATTGTTTAATAATTTGAAATACCTATACAAAACTAATAAAACGTTTATACGCATTTTGTTTCGACGGATGTATACATTTTTTGTATACAATATACAGTTAACGGTCATTTGTTGGTTTAAAATTTTAGCACAACAAACTTGGCAATAATATTGTACTCATTTAATATTCTACTGCATGTACTCGTAACTTTGTATAATATAATATTATTTTATAAACTGTAAATTACAAAGTACTTACAAACAAACTGTGGCATAGGTCTTTTAAAATCAAAATTGAAGAATATTTGTTTAAATTTCTGTGAAACAAATGATTTTCATGTTATAATATTATCATTTAACATTGCACTATCGTCTATCGTCATCGTATAGTAGTGATATTTCCCTTACTTTTTTTTTTTTTAAATTTATCGTTTATAGACAAAATAATAATAAAATAGTAGGTACTCTATGAACATTTTTATGTACAATGAAATTTCCTGAAAAGTTATCTATACCACTAGTGTTTTTTTGAAGCAATTTACGTGAAGTACGTATTTATTATAGTATATTTTTTTTTTTTTTATTAAAATACAATTTTTAGCATAAAAGTCATTGAATGCATCCCATAATAATAATATATAAGCGCAATATATCTGTGTATTATAAACACAAATGCAAAGTCGACTTCTTTACAATTCGTTTATAGAAAATTATTGAAACATATTTTTAATCCTTTCTCGAGATTATACGTCACACAGGAACAAAACTTTCAAATAGCGATAAAAAATGACGATTTAGTTATATAGGTATATTGTATGTTTTAATGAATGAGAAAAGAAACAAAACAAAAAGGGTCGCTGTTCTTCTACAATACTTTTGTTTATTTTATTGTTATATTATTTACTGTCATACATTATATATTTTGCTTATAGATAACCCATCATAATGTCATAGATTATAAAAGCATAATATTTATTTTTATGAAAAAAAAAATAAAAATATTTTTACAAAATTATTATTCTATGTGTATCTCATTAGAAAAAAAATGAATGCATCGGTTTTTGTATAATTTAAAGGTGCTGCGCTATTAAAATTAATCACTATTATAATAAAATAACTATATATAGGTATTAGCTTCAAATACCAATAATGTCAATCGTACCTATAACAATATTTTGATGATGTAAATATTTGCTTACCTTTTGAAAGTGCGAAAAACGGTTGTTTGGTTGATAATGCTTTTTCGTTTCTGAAAACATAATATACAAGAATAATATATTGGCGTATAATAATACTTTTGACGTGCATAGGCTTAATAATAGTAATAATAAATCGTATAATTATATTTGTATACCATAGTACCATACATTATGTATATTATATACAAAAGAATCAAGTAATAATAATAGTATACATATAAGCTACACGACGATGAACCGAGACGGAATCTTGTTAGTATAATAGTAAAGTAAAGTACAGCACTACTATAATATTAAAATAACAAAAAACGGTTTAGTAGCAAACACGTAAACTGACAAGATAATAAATAGTTTTATCCGACTCGTCGAAAATGAAAAAAAAAAATCATTTCCCGCGACTGTACGCGTTACTACTACTAATACGATCGACGAAAAAAAATATGTTGTTGTAAGACGATATCGATAGGAAAATTAATTTTAAGACCGATTAATACGCGTATTATTATTATTATTATTATTATATAAGATATACACAGTTAGAGCTCGTGAATTCACGATATGTAATATTATATTATTATCAAGTAGAACCGTGTACGCTATAACGTTACGTTGTTTTATATTTAGAATAGTATAATATATTTACACGAACGACACCTACCCGGGGAAACGGCCGATTTCTGTGTAACCGTCGTGCGTTTGATCGCAGTATTTCATACTGTTAAATATTATTAATCATTTTTTTTTTTTTTCACGTCGTCTCGTTTAGAATGTAATAATGATATTATACTATACTCCGGTCAACCTCGCGCGTTTGTGCGTGGGAATGATTGGTGTACGTTGTACAGTATATAATATATGTATGAAGTCTAGACTCTAGAGAATAATATGTGTTTCACCCGTATGTGTATTATATGTGTATGACATAGCGATCGTGTTCACGCGACGACGAAATCATTTGCATTTTGCATACGCCAGGTTTTTCGTGTTTATTTCTCTTACCTTCGCCGTGGTCACCTCTTTTGGCTATAGGCCCGTCGTATCATTGTCGCTTCGGTCGTGCTGAAGTCGTCTTAAACCTCTGACGTACCTACATTTTTCCTCTCCTCGCAACACTTGCAGCCCGCGTACGTTATAATATGTCTTATTATACGTATACTGTTATTATTTATTATATTATATTGTTGTAATTTATATGGCATGGCGACCGTGACGTGAAAAGTGTTACTGCAGTATGCGATAAAATAGTTTGCGTGGTGATGATATACACGAATATATTATATAGGACATAGGTATATTATGCTAATTAATCGAAAAGTCAGTATAGCTCTAATTTAAAATGTATTACGAATATTTAGGTGCAGTTTGTGAACGTCGTGTACGTAATTTATTATATACCTAATATATATGACCAAACCCTTTTACCGTAATTTAAAAAAAAAATTAAATAATTACTTAAAATTGCTTTGGATTATTTTTTTGTTGAAAATACGTCTTTTTATAGATTTGCCTATTTTTTAAAAACAAAAAAATAAAATTGAAAATCGGTCAAATTTTAAGTGAGTCAGCAATTTATATATAATTTTAAAAATATTATACATTTTACAATTTAACTGATTTTAAAACTTTTTTTTTATAGATGGGTAGGGCTAATCTAATAATCAAGCAGTGTTTCACAATCTAGGGGTTGTGACTCAACATTTTTTTGAAAGTCAGAAGTCACAGTTCGTAAACTAATTACAAGGAAAATATAAGTTGATTAAAATAAAAATAATCTTTATATTTAACAGAATTAAGTATTCATAATTTAGTATTGCATTATGCAAGAATTAAATGAATTAGACTGATTATAATACAAATGATTATAGGTTACTAAATTATTTCATAGTTGAATTTGTTTTTTTTAAAGTATCGCCTAAATAAAAAGGTGTTAGGTAATTTGAACCATTGAACATTTTTATACATTTTGAAAGCAATAAATTGAGTCCCGGGTATAAAAAGGAGTAGGCAAGTTGAATCCTGGCAATAAACCCATTTACTTAGTTGTTTGGGCCGTGAGCATACAACGATACACTACCCGGATACCAATTAATTCTAATCACCAATAGATAAACAAACGTTACAAACAAATAATAATGACGGTAATATTTTTACCGCGGATTTCATTACACTGGTCGTAGCCACATTTTTCCAAAAATGAGATACCATAACGTCGTAACTTTGATGCAGCCTAATTAAGATACGTATATACTAGCATATACATGCTTACATGTTCGTCTGCTGTATTATACTATTATGTATTAGTTATCATCGATTTTTACGATAATTGCATACAGACTTACGTACAATATCTGGGTTATTTCATTAATTTTTACTAGCGTACTGCACATCGGCCTATAACTATATTGTTTCTTCAAGTTATACAGTTTTATAGTTATTGTGTATTTCTTAAATTTTGAAAAATGGAAATAATGGCTAGCAAAAAAAAAAAAAAAACGATAAAAGAACAACACTTTAGAGGGTAAATAATAAAATACACTATTAATACGATAACCCGATTTAAGTTTGTTAATTCCTTATCATTTAAGTTTTTCCGAAAATATAATAATATAAAAAACACACAGGTATATTTTAATTGAATTATAATGATAGAAATTGAATCAATTTTTAATTTAAACCTTAAGGTTTTTTAATTTATTTATTCCATGTGTTTATTTAGAACATATTATAAAAACATATATATTAATTCAATCTATACCATTTGTACAATATATTATACCATAATCACAAAATTTGACTTCTAATATAGATTATAGGATGTTAAAAAAATGGGATGAACTTCTTAAAACATTTCTTTCCGAACTCAACTTACCGAGATAAAGTCATTTAATAGGTACCCACTTTACCGATTCCGATAAAAAGTATTGAAGCCATATAATAATCAATCAGGCAATTAGTTTTATATTTCATATTTGATTTTTAATTGTTTAAAATGATTTTACTTTAGTAAAATTAACAATAAGTGTAAATTATATTATTTAAACATCTTAAAACGCTATCGGCTTATAATGTAGGCGTGTAATTATAGTGTCTATATAATTTAATTTAACATAAATTTCAATTTTAATTTTGTCTCAATTCATTAATTTAATAAATAATATATTTACTATCCCGCAGAGTCGATGCGTAAAAATGTAAGAATACTGAATAGTGTTAAGGAATAAAAGACAAGTAGAATATTCCAAGATATATCAACGGAGTTACTTAGGGTCTTTTACAAACTAAAACGTCCTTAAAAAAAAAAAAAAAAAAAAAAAAATGAAATGACGCAATTTACAATAAAGAAATAATACTTGTGTTACAATAATATTCGGTATATTGTCGTCTCCTCCAGGAAACGTTCCGCGTTTTCGAAATGGGAGGTCGGCACGCTGTCGCATAATATTATCTCCCTGCATGACAGTAAGCAAACGCTCTCTCAGAACAAGTACAATGATGTAGGTATATTATATTATGGGTGCTATGTGCAGTGTGTGTAGAAATCGATTGTTCCTCAATACAGTATAATATTATTTGTCGTATATGACGTGTGTGCGCGCGGTGTGTCCCGTCGCGCTGACCATTTCACGCGATTTGTAAAGGTCCAGGATATATAGTAATACGGTAGTAGCGCCGTGACAATGGGTACGAAGTCCTAAGTAAACACACACTAACACAAGCGCGCGTGGAAATATTTGGTCTGCGGGGGGTACGCAGGCGAATTTTCTCGTGATTTACCGATTAACCTCTCTCCGAAATCTTTTTTTTTTGGGCTACATTTCCCTATTATATTATTCTATTATTAACATATAGGTGCTAGGTAGTTGGGTATCATACTATGTCGGTTCTGTAGAGAATAATTTATCGTCGCCGTATTATTATATTGCTACCATGGACGTTATGCACGAGTACTGGCCGTGCTCGTTATTATTATCGGTCGCCAATGTTTAGCCTATTCGTGATATGCATTATTACATAGGTAATGGAACTGGTGTAACGTATTTAGGGCAAACAGCGTTTATTGGAATTTTAATAAATTTCATTCAAATTTTTCTCGCATTGCAGTATATAACCGATTTGTTGTGTAAGATCCTTCACCTAAAAATATTGGTTAATCTGTGTGCCTATCGCCAGTATTCACGCGTTTTCTATAGTTATTCTATGTCACACTTAATCTGCAGTATTAATTGTATAACCGTATAAATGATTATATTCTATAGCTATGTCGAGGAAAACTAAATTTCACCTAAAATGTGAAATATTTTTAAAATTATTTATGTAAGATATTAAATATGAATTATAAACAATTTAAATGTCACATTTATTCACTATAAGTGTGTCTGTCTTTAATTCTATAGTTTTTACGTCTGCGTCCTTATCAATTTAATTAAATAATTTACGTTTAATATTCAATGGGTAGTTAATACTTTATAGTTATTAAACATGACTGACACGCACATGCAATTATTTCATGTATTTAAAGTATACTAATACTTTTCGTTTGGATAACGAAATTAAATTAAGCGTTAAAAGTGCGTAGGTACCAAGTGTAAAATTTAATAAAATAGAAAGTATAATTTAATTTGATAAATTGTGATTTCGCTATATTTAGTTTTAATTTTCCAATTTCTAAGACATGTTCATAATTTTTCAGATTGGTTTTGGTCATACCTAACAGTTCCATTCAAATTCTTATCCAAACTATTACAGTTTTAAATGACCGTATACATACGATCACAATAAAAAAAATATTTTATATATTATAGACACACGTACATTTTTATTATTCACATAATAAGGTATTTTTATTTTAATATTTCGACTTCAGTTTCGAATCTCGTCTGTCAATCTAACCGACCTAATCGTGCATTATTATATTACATGTCATGCAATTTTTATTGCATGCTTTAGCCATATATTTCATTTGATTTTCTATATTGTATTGTAGCGCATATCCATACGTTTTCAAGTGCTTACACCAGTTTAAAAGTATTTAACGTTTAGATAATCGGAG